ACGCATCAGGGCGCAAACATATTGGATTACCTGGCCTCAGCCAATCCTGTGTCACTCTGCGTTCCAATTGCATGCGAGGAAGATAAGCAGCCAACCAGAGACAGACACTTTTAAGAATAGTACTGCGAGATGCAGCCAGCGAGGTGGACAGATGGAAGGGCCATGATTTGTGATTCTGGCTTGTGATTGGTGAATGAGGCCTGTTCTGTCATGCTAATATGCCTTTTGTAGATTACCCGAGCCCTAATAGGTAAAAGACCTGTTCAACAGAACAGGCTTTATTGACCAATCAGAAGCCAGAGCCACGCGTCAGGCGCCTTCCATCCGAGTCCATTACGCTGGCCACGCCGCTCATTATATACTACTCCTCAGCCGTGTCCTTCTCTGGTTGGCTGCCTTCCTTTCCCGCATGCCATTGGATCGCAGAGAGACACGGGATTGGCTGTGGCCAGGTGGTCCAACATGTCTGCGCCCTGATCCGTCGCCACACTTTTACTATTACTCGCGTGTTCTACAGTATGATAACTGGCTGATCACCGTCGTGGCTCAGTGTCATGATTTCAATGTTTCTTTTGTAATTTGCATACTAAAGGAAAAATAAAACCAGATTAGCAAAAACGGGAACTTAGGCGCCTTCAGATTGTCAACTTCACCCAAGAATGGCAAGGACGTTTAGCATTTAAAAGGCTTTATTAAATCGACGCATATTGGAAACAAAATGTTAAAATAGTTATTAGATGTACGCTAAGGAGGGATTGATTTAAGGGCAGAACTACATAAATTAAAAAAAAACATTTTTATAGAAAAATGGTGTGCTTGACGAACGCCTATTTTAATCTTTGGTCAGCTATTGTGAGCTCAGACTTTTAACTTGTTTTATTCATGCAGGTAAGCAGAAATATTAATATAACAAGAATTTATGGCAAAATATTAATGTCTTAAGAAAATAATAAGCTATTGTCTCAAGATAATAATGTTTAGACAGCAATTTACCGCCCCTTATGGGCAGGACCTACTTAAATACCTTAAAGGTCTGTTTTCTGACAACTCGTAATCTGCCAAGAACAAAGATCTGACACCCAACACCACGTGTGATATTGATTCCCGTCTGACCAACCAAATAAGTAGGTGGCTGATAAGGTTAACGAATAAAAAGCAGGAATGAAACATGAAACTAATAATAATAATATTAATAATGACAGCGGAAACTAGCTTATCATAGTCATGGTTGCTGACGGTCCAATCCACGTTTTTCTAGCAAATGCCATAGGTTTTATTCTATAGACTTAAATTACAGCGAAGGTATAGTCAAATGCGTCAAGGAGTTAGTGTTCATTATTTTATGTCATCCGGCAGCTGTTCACCAATATTTATTAGGCTTGTATAGAATGTACCTTCAGACACTGTGTCCACCCCTAGCATAAATGTTCAATTTTTTTAAAAAAGGATAAAATGCGCTCTTACCTATCTTCAAAATAAGTATTTTCTAATTAATAAAATTCTTTGAAAAATTTGACCTTTTTTAAGAGACGTCAAATTGCTGAACGGTGACATTAGTTGTTTTTAAAAAAATTAGAACAACTTTAAGGCATTTTTTTGCGATGCAATGCTGTTTCTGAACTTTACCATTCTTGTTTTATTGGGTTTTACGGACTGCCGATTTTTCGGTGATTTACGGCGTTATGAGCTCTTCCTCATCCCTGTATCTTTCTCGGTTTGAGGAAAACGCCCGAAGGAATGCCGAAAAGCGCATCATTGAAGCATTTCAGGTCGATTTTTTATTTGGTACTTAGAGCCCCAACCTGTAGAAAACGTGTTACCCCCTTTTTATTAGCCCCATCTAATTCTCTGAAAAAAACTTTTTCGAACGCTTAGAAATGTACGCTAGGTATGCACAACATTGGTTGTGATTGTTTTATTCTTTGGGTGGTTCTTTTTGTATATCTATTGTTGGTGATGGTAGTAATTATATCTGCAATTTGCTTAGTTTTTCTCACTAAACATGTTTTTCAGCCTCTCGTTGTGAATCTCACTTAAAATTTGTTAATTTTTTTCAGAAACCGGAAAATTTGGAGAATATTGACGTTATTCGTGCCCGCTTTTTAAACCAAAAAGTAAGCCCAGTTCCAATTTCCTTTGAAATATTCCTTAGACCGCAACTGAAGCTCAATTAAAAATGGCTGTTCATGGTCAGCTTGATAGTATTCAAAATGGACTTGACAAATTGGACTCTGCTCTTTGCATTTCAAAAGCATGTGCTGGCCGGTAGGATATTTTAGTCGATCTAAGTGCTACTTCTAGAATCGCCGCAATTGAGAAATCATTATCTGCTATTGGTGGCCTTCCAGCGTCTTTGAGTCAGCTGCATGTTATTTCCACGAAACACAAACAGGTTTTTTGAATATTGCTCAAAAATGGTGTAATTAGCTCGCCGCTGCCATGGAAAACATGTCGTATTTAGTCAAAGTGCCTGATGCAATGCTTGAAGCCAAAAATTTGATAGAAAGTGAGAATCTCCTTGAAGCTCACAAACGGTATGCAGCAGTTAGCCTCTTTCCTTTAACCCTCAGCTGCTGAAAATGTAGTTTTTTTAAGTTTGATTTTTCTTAAAATTACCTTGTTAAAATGACGTTTTTTAATTTAGAATTCAAGAATTAGAGGGAATTAGAGACGAGATTATGTCAGATGTTTTCAAACAGAACTCTTCATCGGACCTTGATGTACGTTTTGCCCTTTTCGCCTTTGTCATTTGCAGACGTTGCGAATCTTTTTCAAAGGTCTGGATGAACTGAATGGTGCCATTTTGGAGAAAATTTTGCATGTCGGTGCGACCTTAACAAGTGCTGTAGTTACTCAAAACGTTCTATGTGTAAATTGCATTCGTATTATCGACAGAGAAGAACGGTGAGCACGTCTTATTGTTTCGTCCCACCGCTCTGAACCAAGTTTTTAAATTTGCCCTCGATTCATCCAGAGCCGATATGATTTGGAAGAAACGCCAGGGGAAGTTAGGTTTCATGCCAGATGGTCGACCCAAAGAGTGGAAGAAAAAATTCTTCGCCGAACTGGCTCGCACTATTCAAAACCGGTAAGTTTTTTCATTCCCACGTTTTCTATATTTTTAGCCATATCCGCCGCAGGTCACCCGTTAGTTAGTTTTTGTGTGCTATATCCTTAAGTCCTTCCTTGTGCTTAAACTTTGATGTATGATGCAGTCTCCCTTTTTATTAATCCCTCGCAGCCATGTAAATTTGTATTACTTTGTGTTTAGTGTACAAGGGTGCTCTGTTGACTCAGATAACGAGAAAACTCGATTGGTGAGGCACAACGAAGCCATACGTCAGCACGCCCTGAGAGACCTGCGAATTGCAAAAGTGAGTTCAATTTGCGTTGCTGTCATAGTATTACGTGTTTCAAGGTATGATCGTCAACTACCCTTTTTGGCCCCAGTTCATTGTTTACCACAGTATTAGCAATTATCATTACGGGTCTTGTGCGCAAAGTAAATTTTTCACGAAACGTCGCTCAACTGACGTCTGAATATTGCCTCGTGTCGACTTTGGCTATTAAACTATCATTGTTTTGCTAGATTATTTTGCGCTACGCGAACTAGTAGTTTCATTAACTGGATGTCCGTCACAGAGGTTCATTGTTGTAGGGGTAATTTTTCAATGTCCTGAACATTGTTAATCAACATGCTAGTGGGACTCGTGTTCCTGGTCTCGACATCTTTAGAATATTTTTTTAAAGTCTGGTGATAGTGTTTATTTTTTCAATTTCTGTCACCTAATGGTGCGTTTCCTGTTTCTTCAGAACATATGTCCTGTATTCTTCCCACCAGACTACGGTATATTTGATCGGTTTGTCGAAATGTATCATGATGCTATTGGGATGCATGTAAGTGCTTATTTCAGCATCCATTCATTTTATGGATTTAAGCATTGTTTACTGGCCTTAGCATGTTCCTTCCTCCCATTTGTTATTATTATTATTTTGAATTCACCGTTATGGGTGGCATTTTAATGGCATAGTTTGTTATTCCAGGGCGCTATGCCTGATTAATGTCTGGATTCTGATTGAATATTGTGACAACAATTTTAGATTGAAACTCTCATAAATGAAGGCCTCAATGATACAGAAATTGTTCAACTTCTTGGCTGGATTAATGCATATCAGTACGTTTGTATCAGCGACTTGATTTGGTGCAATTTTTCACGAATCTTATAAATATCTTCTTGATGCTTTAGCACTGAAGAATTTATGAAACACCCACTTTTTAATGTTGATTTCTCTCGTTTGAACCTCAAGTATCCCCCAAATCTGCTTCCAGACGACAAATTGATGGGCTTACGCCAAGAGTAAGTTATGAGAGCCTTTTAATTACTGAATTTCTGTCGAGCATTGAAATCCCAACCTGCACCCGAACAGTATCTCTACTTTCCTCAGACATGATCGAAAACTGTTGAATTTATGTGTAGCATCAGTAATTGGTAGAAATTCATGAATTTGATCGCTTTTGAATGCAAAACTCGTCTTTCTTAATCGTCATTCGAGTGGAATTTGTGGAGTTTGGGGAACGCTTCTTTAGTTTGGCCTTACCGGATAACACATTGTGTCGATCACCAAATTTTGCTTTTGGTAATTTTTTACATCCACATTGCTTTGCGATTGATTCCTTTTCCGTTAGGTATGTGACGAAGACCATCGCGAAATTACGCGGTTGGTTGCTCAAGTCCTTGGCAATCGATGTTGAAGTGAGCGTTGACCAATATAAAGTGTTTTAGACGGTAATAAGTTCACGTATTTTAGCAACTTTAATTTATTTTAGGACTGGCAACGATCTACCAAGCCAGAATTGAATGATGCCTCCAATTACTACACCCCTCTTTCGTTGATGGTTCTTTCACCAATAAACGAGCTTGTAATTCTTATATGAGCCTCTAGGCTTATGCTGTGGTCGCTCATCCCCAAATCACACGTTGCACTTTTGCTGTCTCATATTGTATTGACTAGGTTCCACACTACCATTTGTGCTTTTACTAGTCAAAATCTTGCCGATGACAGAGTTTTCCAAAATAGCCTTAAAATGACATACTTCCATCCTCTTGATTAATTTTCCATTTGCTCTTGGATGCCGCTCACAAGTTTATATAAAATGTGTAGAGTAGGCTATTGTGCTACGATTGCACCCGTCAATTAGGCATGTGGAGCCTGATGCAAAGTCTTCGTTCAAATTTACAGGTTGGTGAAGGGAAATTACTGCATTTTCTTGGCAATTCCGTTCGCGAGAATTTTCTGGTCCAATGCACCCAGGAAATTACTTTGTTTTCGAATGATTATGAGAGTGAGTTACCTTTGCCATTCGCATTTTCCCGCACAGCTCCAGCTTACCGTCTAACCTCCCTGTCTTTAACTCTTGTAGAAAGTATTCGCGAGTATCGTAGTCTTTACCTCAATGACCGAGCTAAATTCCCTTACTACTTAGAATATATTGTGAGTTTTTTTTCACGATATTTTCTCCACCTCAGAATTTTTGGTTCTGTGAAAGCACACACACACACACAAAAACCTAACACGATCTTTACCTTTTACGTTTCTCAGGAGAATCGATTTGCAATTGTTACATCTGTGTTACCGGTTTGTGGTAGGTTGATAGTGCAAACTAACGACCATTGGCCATAATTATTGAGTAAATCCGGCAGCAGTTTAAAAATGGTTGGTTAGCTTGATGCGTTTTCATTTTTTCGACAGCAAACGTTCGTGAAATCTTATTTGGCTTACCCCGTCTCTTAAAAAGCCTGTTGTGTGTATATTCACGTATTTTGCTTTGAACGATCGCTTTCTACCACTTGTTTGCGAAACTTTTCACTTCCAAGATGATGAATTGCCTGATTATTTGCGCCTTCATTGACTCGTTGGGAATGACTCTTCAAGATTCTCTCATGTGTGCATCGGTGATACAAAATTAATTCACACTCGCATTTCAATTCTGGCAATTTCAGCGTCCTGTCAGTTGGTCATAGACATTCATGTTACTTAAGTCCTTTGTCCTAACTTTACCCTCAGCTGGCGAACGCCAATAATACTTGGACGATTTCAAAAAGCTTCGCTGCAGTTATCAACCGCGAGGTTGAAAATGACTCTCATCTCAAGGGCCGCCTTCTTCCTCAACTGGGCCGTCTCAGGGATGAGTACGGCAAGTTAGCAGCTCTGTGGTACGAAAAACTGCTTCTTTAATTACCGAAATTTCACTAGACTTTTCGCCGACGTGGGCAAAGTAAATTGTGTTTTCTGATTTCTCCCGAAACGTTGGCTGCCCACGAAATGGTTGATACTATATTCCCATTTTATTTTGACAACACCATTATAACTTCACTTTGAGTATATCATTAATCTGTCTTAAATTTCTTTTTAGCCTTAACTGTGCGGAAGAAACAGTGTTCTTAGATCTGACTCCTGTTCTCTCTGCTGTCCTTACACGTGAATGGCAAGTACATTCCGTGTTATCGTAATGTGTATTGTTCAATTAGTGCCTTTCCCCTTGGATTCTGCGATAAAACAGCTTTGCTTTATTAGTTGCGTTTATAGAACCAAGACCAAGCCTTTTTGTTGATAAGCAAAGTAAATCAATTAAACTTCAATCTGTCTAAAATGTATGGTGTGCTGCTTTCATGCCGAATTCCCATCGCTTCTTTTTGCGAAGTCCATTTTTAAGTAAAGAAACATAATGTACCTAAGTACATTAGGTTTTTAATGTATCCTATCTATCGTTGGTATTTTGTATCATTATCAGCGGTTTCGTGCTAATGATAACTATTCATTTTGCCGTAGGCTCAGTCCTGGCGATTTGACTCCACAATGTCTTACGGGTACACTTTTGGACTATAATGAGACTCTTGTCCATGTGCACCAAACGTATTATCAGGAATTAATGCCACGTTTGGCCACACACCTCCTTGTCGATTACCTGAAAACTATTCTGACCAGGTTAGTCTCCCCCTTTATATCGAGACATTTTTTCTGTTCCTTTCTGAAGCGCTCATCAAATCGTCTTTCAACCCATATTTAATTATTTAAACTTACGAATTCTATCAGATTCATCACTATTTCTCATTCCAGAACCCTTACTTTTACATCAAATCATGAACGACATACAGCTGGCGAAAAATTTATTCAGTCAGCTGGCATGCTCAAGTCATTTTTCGAAAATCAAGTTCCTGTATCCAAGAAAGTAAGGGGCCTTGCTACAAGTAACTGCACCATTGTTTAAAGCTTTGGCAATTCATCTCACGCCTTCGCTGCCATTTTAGATCGTTGATGCCTATGAAGCTATTGCTTTGATTGGCAAGTTCCTCACCAACGACGACCCCAATATGTTGTCGTTGGATGTCGGAGTAAGTCCCATTTACTACCCCCGGCCCTGTTATACTTGATTCGTTTTTTGTTCGCATCATGGCTATGTGCACCACTCTTGTTCTCTGCGTGGCTGCAAATAAAAAGCTAGACTCGATAAGCTACCGATTTAAATCGTTCACAAACTCCAGCTATTTGTCCTTTTTATCGAACGTTCCTTCTTAAGTCTTTCCATACGCAGCTGGCGTTATTCCAGTCGTTAGAAATGGTGTAGTTTTGTGCTGATCCTTGCGCTTTCACTTTCAAGCGTTTACAACGGAGTTTCCCTGATGTCAGATCAGATCAAGTTTACGCTGTCCTAATGCTGCGTGGTGATATTCGTTCCAGTGACGCACAAGAGGCAAGTGTGCTTAAGGTATTTTGTAATAAATAATGTTTTAGGCCATTAATTTTTATTCCTTTTCTACTTTAGCTAGCCGTTAATGTCGCTCAAGGTGGAGCTACTGGTAAATCGTCTTCAGACATTTTTACAAAGGTTGCACTTGCAATGGGTAGATGAAGTCCTTTGACTTTATGTTTTTAAATCTGTTGATCATTTATTGGGTTCGTGAAAAATCTATTAGTCGAGCTGGTATGTTTATTGTTCAATATTCGTTTTTGGGGAATTTAATTGCTGTTAGCATGTTTTTTATCCTAGTCCCCAAGGTCTTTTTCTTAACATCAAAATAAAGATAAATGTAGTTTGCCAATGTGTCGAGCTCTGTACCTTTCGAATTCCTGTCATCTCTAGTTGCCAAATAACAAAAACGTGTAATTTTACTCTGGTCTTGAATATTTAGAAAAGTTCCGATCTCCTTCCATGATAGTTGCACGAATCTCTCATCTAATTTTAGTTCTATGGAGCACAATGCTTCCTTGTAATATCAACTTGAAAGTCTAGTGTAGAAGGAAAGTAGACACAAGTGATCAATTGGCAAGTTATGGGTGCGGCGGCCATGAAGTGGGGGGTGGTGTGCCTTCTCGATGATGCAGCAACTGCGTGACTCTATTTTCGTTTTTTTGGTGCCAAGGTCATAGCCGGGGGGTTTTGTATGTTTTCTTGAACCTCACCGGAGCCGCTGCAATACGTTGGTGTTTGCACAGGAGTGAATTTGCAGACTGTCCTGCATGACTGATGGACATGCTGTGAAAAAGTGGTCGGATTATGTGGCGACAGATTTGGGGAATGTGAATTATTAGGCTCCACTACAAGTTTTTTCAATCAGTAAGTCGAGTCTGCAACGTGTTTAATGTTAGTGCAGATTAGGCTCTTCATGGTGCTAGGTTCTCATTAGATATTGCACCGACTTTTAGGACTCTACGTTGATCTATAAAAGTAGTAGAAATGTCTCCATTTGGACGAAGTGGGAGCTTTTTTCCGAGAACAACATTGGAGCACAAATAATCCCATTGTCATTATAAGCGTAGTAGTTTTCGGATCATCATTTGATGGGATTATCTTAAAATTTTAAGGAAAGTCCGCCGATGCGAGAATACTTAAAGGAAGGTGTAATATATTGTTGGGTGTTCAGTTCCTTCGGCTGATTTGTCTGATAAGGTGTGTGCAATTATTTGATCCTAAAATGCCAAGGATAAGGAAAAATTTTACGTCACCTGCCACAAAATTAGGGTCATGCATGTAGAGGTTATCAAGGGTTTTTCAGTACTGTCAACGCCAACAGGATTGACTACTAAACTTGTGGCGGAGACGTAGGGGCAGGTTCTAGTGTCTTCGGGACTACCGATTGATAGAGCAGAAGCTAAAACACAAAAAGGTTAGTGTTGTGACGTTATAGACTGGTCGTAGTGATGTCGAAGACTGATCCTGAAGCCTATTCGCATGGGAAGGAGGGACGAGGATTGAGGCGGAATAAATGGCGATAATATTCGAAAAGCCAAACCACAATCCAGGATAGAAAAAGTTATTTGAATGGCAATAGATGATACAGTGGGGTGTGAGAATTAATAAACAGATCGGCGCAATAACTAACAGAATCTAATTGAGAATTGGTAGAAAATTTCAGCAGAAGCTCAGCCTGCGCTGTTAAAATCAAGTCAATAAAAATTAGGGTACAAATCAACTGTCTGCCAATTTAATATAACTATTGCTTGTAGTAAAAACTTAGTGCAAACACTAAATTTTATTTGACTGCACTTATGAGAACTGTCAGATTTGTTTGTTTCGACAAATTGCTGCGTTATAGTTAGCGTTGCGTAGCAACTGGAATATCCATAATTTAAGCGGGTTGTTGCTTTCTAAATTACTTGTAGGCATAAATTCATCAATAAAGCAAAAACAAAAGCATGCAAAAACCGATCACCAAACATTCATCTCATTCTGTTGGCCGATTGTCAACTAATGGGTTGAATCTATTAAGTGGTGGTGGCGGCCTGAAGGCCGTTTCCATTAAGAAATTAGGTAGTTGTCTTAGTAATTGTTTTATTAGTTAGATTTCTCAAAAAGTTTTGAAAAGCGAAATTTTTATATTGAAAACGAAGTCAGGTTGCAGCGTTTGCTTAGGGAAGCCAGTGCATTAAAAGGCGGACCTTCCGTAGAGCGGCTGTGCGTAAGACTTAACGTTTTTTAATCGTTCAGGTATTTCGTGATGTGTTTGACATTTTGATATCAAGCTTTAAAACTTACCAGCCAATACTTTCTTTGATTAAAAACGAATATGAAGATATTATTATGAAATACAGGAATGATGCTAAGCTACTTGGGCCGGCCCAGGTATTTAGCTGTATATTTTCATATATATGTTGCAGGAAATGTTGTATACAGTCGTCAATGACTATGAAGCAAGACTAAGTGTAAATGTGTATCACCAAGTTGAAGGTTGGTAATAGGATTCTCTCTAGACCTTTTCTTTAGAAACTAAATCATTGAAAAAATGGGTACTGCTATTGGAAAGGAAAATCAAAAAAATGAGAGAAGAGGAGGAAGCAAATAAGATAACTGTGGGTAACAGCTCTTCTTACTAAAATTCAATCTTTTATTTTTTCTAAATATTCAAATCACTGATAAGTTACTTCCTTATAATTTGTCTAGGTGTCCCAATTAAGTTTTGCATAAAGGCTTATATAGTCGAATCATAAAAATTGTTAATTTTAATGTGAATATTTTACATTTTGCGATAGAGTGGAATTTTATCTAGGGGATTGCTTTATACTAGTCTAGTGAAATGTGTCGTGAATGGTGAAAACAAAAAAAGTGAAAAAAAGGCCACATGTCCTGACCACTTGCTGTCCTTTTCCAGAAAAAGCTAATTCTCAATTGACTAATATAACAAATGCGTGGAATTCGACTAAGTATGTATATATTTAGTGGGAATAATGTTTTAAATTCCCACTGGTTTCCCATCTCGAATAAGGCAACCTTATGCAAATATACAGTTTTATTTTCTTTTCATATATTAGCAAGAGAAGCTATGTGAGAAGCTAAAAAACCTTTCTGATGATCTTTTGCGAGAATCAGATTCCCGTAAACTAGCACTACTGGATTTGAACCAGTTACGGACCGAATATTCAGATCTCTTGAAGTACAACAAAGAGCTTAGTCGTCAGACTCAAGAGGGTGGTGATTCTATTACCCTAAAGATCGCACTTGAGTAAGCGAACCTATTACATCTACGTATGGAAATATTTTTTTACTAAATAGCTTGATGGAAATCAAATATGTTTTTAGAAAATTGCTTAATTTTGCAAACAGGATTTTCTTCCATACTCTTATTTTCGAGTAGGTGGACCTTAGTAATTATTACAAAGCACTTTAATACAATATTTATTAACGGATTGAAGTCTTTGTGTTTTAAGATGTGACAACGCAAATATTTTGTCGCTTTTCTTAGACGTGCCAAAGAGGCACACAAATTAGCACTGGAAAAAATCACCTACTTAGAAACGGCATATGTCAACGTTGTCCCAAAAGAGGAGTTCTCCAACGTTCAAGATCGCTTAGCCGATTCTGAGTCTGAGAATGAACGTCTTAGGGCCAATTGTGAACAATTAAGGTCTCAGCTTGAGTAAGTTTCCTTTTTTTTCTTATTCACTTATCGCAATGTAAAGTTATTTGTTTCAAATATTTATCTTAATACACCAAGTCCACTAAATTATTGTGAAAACACGTGTACTTTCACTAAAAAAATGCTTGAACATTGAAGATCACGGTACTGTTGCCCATCACTATTGCATGCGCCGTTATTTAACATGATCGTAGATTTTTTGAAATCACGTTTGACAAATGTAGCGTTAACTTATTAAAGAAATAAACTTGTTTGGATGATTTTATTAGTAGTTAAAATACTTTAAACCTTCGCCTTAAAATTTATCTGTGTTTGTTAGCCACAATCTACGATCGGTTTTACTCTTACGTCACTGTGACCAAGAAAATTGCAGGCTAGCAATTTTTTCAAATGTGCTTTGCCAAATGTCTTATAATCATTTGAGAAGAAGCGACGCGAATCAAGAATTTCAATTAATCTATGCTTTCACGCATGCCAAGCAATCATAAATAGGACAATTTGTACTGGTTTTAAGGTCTGTAATTAATTTCAATGCACCTTTTAAATCAATGACAGAAACATATCAAAGGACTTGGCAGTGGTCACAAGTGAAAAAGAAGAAATTGCAGATAGATACGCTGTTCTACGGAAGACCTCAACGCCGCGGTATGTTTGGTACCTTCAGTTGTTAAAAAGCTTTCCAAAATTTTAAAGGTGAGGAACTTGCGAGACAGCAAAATGTTTACATATTTTTTTTTCAAAAAATCTTTTTACAAACAATTCTGGAAAATATAAAGTATTAAGAAGACTTCCAAACACCTGTTCTTCTTACCTAACGTAACTATTCTCATGGTACTATGGATAATCAAGCACAGCAGAACAATTTCCAACCAATTGAGATTTCGGGAATTAATAATTGACACTAACTTAAATACCCCATAAAAATTGGTATTTACACTTGATAATTGAGAGCCATGGACACTGTGTCGTTAATCATTGTATAACATTGGGAAGCGAGACTAATCTTTCTAGGAAGTGACATAAGTGTGGGCACGTAAAAACGAGTTGATAAACTATAGCAAATTTGTAGTCTTGCATTGTAAATATTTTTCAATACAAATCCAGTTTGTTGTGATGGAGACCAACCACAATTACGATTCTTGAATAGCTAGGTGTTAAATATTCCATCAGCTCATTTTTCATGTTATTGCACTGAGCTTCCAGTAATATTGCTTAAATTTCTCTTCATCTCTTTTTCGTTTCATCTACTTTTGAGATGCAAGCATTATGCGTGACTGTTTACTTCGTCATCCTAGGCCCGAGTGGTCGTGCGTAGGCGGCATGGTACCAGGAGGTCGGAGACATTGGCAACAACTGACCTCAGGAAAATCCTCGAAAGAAAAATTGGCTATTCTAACGGCGGAGCTCGCAGGAGATTCAGCATTGACTCTCCCAGGGTTGGACATACAGGTAAGTTTGTTGTTCACACAGACAAGTGGCGCTCAAGGCTACCACCACAAAACAACACAGACACTCTAGGAAAATGGCATCGGTGCTCTTGAAGGCGTAGAAAAATTATTGACTGACGTCAGAAAATGTACTAATTATGGTACGAATCTGTTTCCTCCATATATATTCTGTGAGGTTGCAATAGAAGCAAAATTTATATTTAGTAGTTACATATCAGCCAGAAGGATAGAATTGGATACAAAGATGCTTCTTAGTTCTGGTATAAATTTTGCATGAAACTAGGTCCATAACATGGCAACTTTTTTCAGTAAACAAACTAAAACAGCATCCTTACAAACAATCATTTCTTTCTGTGATCAAAACTTAAAACGCTGGCTGCCCAAACTTTAGAAAATAAATCAAAAATTTATTTCCTTAAAAAAGTTTGTTTGCACGCTAGAAATTCGGTTGGTATGCATATGTTTTACTTCGTTTCTTTTAACGAGGTAAGACTTTTCAGATATGAAGCAATATAAAATGCTTATCTGTATTAGCAATACTGTTGAGTATCCAATTTAGTTAATTTCTCTTCGGTTCAGCATTCGCTACCTCACTTTCGGTATTCACATTTGATATTTTTACAGAATGAAACAAACAAAAAAGTGCCTAAATTCATCGAAGACCTTACGCATACCTATCCGCGCTTGCTGCCAAAACGCGATCTTTTGATCCTCCTCGAGGATTTTTGGTCAAAACGACAAGAGCAACTGAATGATTTCCTGGTAGCTCTGATGCTTATAGTTTAATTTATGCTGAATTTGTCTATAAATTAAAATATTGCTTCTCTGTGTTTTATTTTACAACATACATAGCATATATCATTATCACAGCAAGGCACTTAGGCAGTTAATTGTGTTTTCCTTTCGCATGGACCAATTTTAATCACCTGTGCTGTTTAGCTATATGAGACGGAAATGATTTTTAATGATTGCACTCAAGTATATGTTAATCTTAAGCTGAACGCTAATATATTTCCTGTGCCGGGCCGTCGGACCTTACTGGTTAAGTCCCATAGTTAAAAAAAATCAATGCGCAAGTAACTGATGTAGTCCACTAATGGAATGTATAGAAATTAAAGCGATAATAGAGCAATCTACGAACTGAAGTGAGTCACCGACACATATCCACCACTTCGATCTGTTCTTTGGCGTACAAGTAAAAACATGATGTATTTTCCCAAAATATGTATTCTACGTAAATCAGCTCGAAAAATTGAGATAGATTGAATTTTCATAAAATGTAGAGCAAAACCAAAAAAGAGATGCCTAAAAGTAACCTGAAAACTTGAACAAAAATTTAAATATCCAAATGATTTGACACGGATATTTGCAATCCATTTTTATGATATCTTTGCCCAGCAACCTTGATAATCACGATTTGGAACTCGTGTACACGTCATGTGACGGCTTATGGACTTGTGAAGTTGTTGGTCAAAACGTGTACCTTTGTCACTCAACCTTGCAACGATGTATCTAATTTGGGTAAAGGTCATAAAATCCAATTAAATAGAAAACTGGATTAGAGTGGAATGGGCCCGAATCTATTGCAAGGTTTGCCCAAAGGCATTTCCTTCATCAAAATTGAATTTCGAAAACCGAAAACGTAGTTCTATCAAGTGTTTTTCCAAAGTATAACTGACTTCCACACGCGCATTCCATATTCACTTCCCGTTCTTAGAAATGTCTTCGAGATAATGTACAATCTACGTTGCCATCATTCAACGATTTCCTATATAAATACCTAAAAGAAGCATTTGGAATAGAGAAGATTCGTCGAGAGTGGTCGCTCTCACTTTATATCTCCGGGAGAGTGATGACGGACTGCGAGGAACTTGTTCGTTTTCGAATGGTTGCCGACAACGAGGTAAGTCACATTATTGTCATTGGTCGTTTGATAAACCTAGTTTTTCTAAAGATTTCTGTTTTGACAATGAGCGCGTTAACATATTACACAAGAATCACCCTTTTGGCCTCACATTAATTGGTGTCAAACAACTTCACCGATTTCACTAGAGTGAATAGTGTTACGCATTTTCAGAACGCATTTGAACTCCTGGTGTTGCAGATTAATTTGAACGAAATCATTTTTCATAGCAGAAATAGCCATTAGTAAAACTTTCGCTGTTGCTTCATCTTCGATATGTTTGGGCCGTGTCAAAACCATCATCAATTACTCCTGTAGACTATCAGCTATGTAATTCGATTTCTGTGCATTGTTACGTCATAAGTTGGGTATCGGTTGGGAACGTTGTTTAAATGGGCTAATGGGTAATGTTTGTATTTATTGAATGTGAATCGATTTAGATTGACGAAGCCTACCACTGGTACTTGCGCTCATTAACGGGTCGACTGTTCAACCAACTTCGTGAAATCGCTCATGCAACGGCTATCGCATTCTCAATGACCACAGAGCCCACTGGGGAAAAGGTGACGGATGTCCAATTGGCTAAACCCAAAAGGAGTGATTGCCAATTAAGCGTCCGACAATTGAGCGTGGTTCTTGCCAAATTACTTCAGTGCACTCCTGACCACGAATCTATCACACGGCTCATTAAGATAGCTTTCACAAATGATGACATTGATGACAGCGAGACCACATTGCAAACAGGGATTTCGATGGATGCAACAGTCTCACTGGAAGAACTTTTTTATCGGGTAGTCTATTTTCGGACAACTTACATGTTTTTTACTCACGCCTACCTTACTTGCGTTTACGATTTCTATGACGTTAATTTTGCCTGCAGAGAAACCAGCAAAACTACCGCAAAATACATGAATTTACACTATTACAGCAAGCTTCACACAAAAAAACGAAAATTTAAAAGGCAGAATGCTTTTGTCATCGTTGGGGAGCAACCTAAGTCACAATTTAAAAGTTCTTGAAGATCATGCGAGAACCCCCCTTCAAGTATTTCGGCTGTCGACGTCAGTGCATTATGCTATTCACAATATTAACTTAATTTCTCAGTCATCACCTTGTGGCAACACATAGTTGTGCACATCACGAATTTACCCCTCAGAAGGCTTTTGTTCTAAATACCTTTAAAAGGATTATTGCTTAAATTTCTTAAGTTCACAACCTCTGCAGGGCCCTGGTGAACCGACTCCGCCCTTTGTGATCGCCCTTGTAAATCGCCTAGTACAGGGACGAAAGCCAATCATCGATCACATTCTCATGGAAATTCAAAGACAGAAATCGAATGATGCGTAAGCTTTTGCATTTTTCAAAGACACAAGTACGTTTCTTAAAAATGGGCGTACACTGAAATATGAAACCGTTCAAAAAACTGAAGGGTCTTAAGGCATTGCCTTGCTCGAAGGTCACCCACTGATTCGGTAAATGTAACATGCATTAGACTACTAAAATGCATGATGCCACAAACCTAAGTCAACAATGTTTTCAAATACCGAGAACTTATATAAATGCCATTCATTAAATTTTTTTTCCAATCGAGAAATGAATTAATCCAACAATTTATGGAGTCGGATTAGGTAAGCTAGGAATCTCATTGCCTTGGTTTTGGCAACACTCATAAAATGACCCTAGAGGAAACAGTTCGACATAAGTAAAGTCGGAATCCAGGACTGTCAGCTTGACATAAGCCAATTTAAATTTCCCTAAACGGGTCACAAAGAGAGATACGTGTGCCGGATCATGCATGTAATAACTTCATAAAATGCGATGCCGTATATCCCAACACATTAATTTAAATAGACATTAGACATTTAGGCAAAGTTACAAGGAAACGATGGAATTAAGCTGTGGGATTTGATTATGACAGAATGTGTCAGACCAAATCGCATTGCAAATAGCAGATTAGA